AGAGCCAACAGATCAGTGCTCATTCTATTTTTATGGCTGGTCCAGACCCCTGGTATTTGACACCCACAGGAATGACACAGCTTTCCCATGAACATTTACCTCTGCAAAAGGTCTCTTACCACCCTCTGTACTTTTCTTCTGCCCAACAGCAAAATACAGCTCTACTTCCCCAAATTTTCTATCTCTGGGAGCTATGAAATAACAAACATACTTAGCAAGATGGGAATTGTGGACGTGTTCACCAACCAGGCAGATCTCTCCGGCATCACTGGTGTCCCAGAGCTGAAGGTTTCTAAAGTAAGTCTGTTGCCACCAACCTTTTTCTTCCTTTCACACACACACACACCCCTGTGGTGTGCAGAAACATCAGTTAAACACAGCTCTTGGCTTTCCAGCTTCCCATATCCTGGATGATCCTGGCTTCAGTCTGTAAGTTTACAACTGAGAGGAATTTGGCTGCCAATGATAATGATCAGATTAGTTTGCTGCACAGTTCTTTTTCCCAGGGCTGCTTTCAAGATCTCCCAGGGTGTGTCTAGAGCATGAGAAGAACACCAAATGTCAGCTTCTCAGGAAGAGCCATTATTTGTTCCTAGCCCCACCTCAGCCCACCCTACTGCTCTGTTGAGTCAGTTTTGGAAGTGCAGAGCTGACCCCCTTTAACATGTACCTGGAAAGTGGACAAGAGACAGAGCAGCACTCTGATTCCTTTGGGCCAGAATGGCTGAAGGCAGGAATGAAGCTCTACTAGGTCTGGGGGGCAGCTGGGCACAGGCACCTTGCTTATGTCAGCACAATGAGGAAAAACTGGGAAAGCACAAAGGAAAGGAAGATCAAGGAAAATTTCAAGATTAAGGGATGAAATTTAGATAAAAGAGACTCTCATTTTTTTTAAATTCTTTTTTTTTTTTAATTTTTAATTCTTAAGTGGCAGTTTATCTTGTATTTGCCTAAACAATCCCCCTTCCTCCTCTTCAGCTGCCTCTTTTCCTCAGATGTAATTGGGCAAATGAAAGCATTTGACCCAAGTGTAAGAGCACAGTATGTTCTCTTTTTCTTTATCTCATGAGGAGCTGAGAGAATTTCTGCTGCTCTATCCTGGTCTTCATTTAAAGCAGCTGCCTATAGCAATGCAGCTCACATCTTTTCTGCTCCTACAAGTCCTCCAGGGAAGGATCCTCCAAAGGAGGAGTGATGTAAATGGAGCCTGGTTCATCTTTCATGTGGCTGGTTACTGCTCCAAATGACTGTGTCTTGTTTATTCCTAGGTTGTCCATAAGGCTGCTCTGGATGTTGATGAGAGAGGAACTGAGGCAGCAGCAATAATTGCTCCTAAAATAATGGCCCTCACTCTTGCTCCAGCCATTGAATTCAACCGTCCCTTCCTGATGCTGATTTTTGACAGAGACACAAACAGTACTCTCTTCATAGGAAAAATAGCTAACCCAACTACCACTAACAGAAGTGAGATATGAACTCTAATTATTGTTACTAATTAAAGAAGATGTGAAACTGCATGATGCTTATTTCTATTTGCACCAGTGTAGCATACAGCTCTTTTCCAGGAGGAGTTTTTATTCTAGGTCATTACCAAAAATTCTAGGTACTGATTGTGACACTTTCTTAGGAGGAAGTATGAAAAAATGGTTTAAATTCTTCTACCAAAGAATGACTTTTTATTTGACTGAGAAACAAGGGAAGACCTGTTAAGATTCGACAGTATTCAGAGATAAATATTTGTATAATAATGGAAGACTCCTGCTTAGCAATTCATTGTCAGTCAGAATATCAGATTAAATGATTAACACTTCTGCAAACAAAGCCTAAGCAGTTGTAATTTACCATAAATACATAAGCAAGTAAATAAGAAATGAGAAAAGCTGAATCAACAAAGTAGGGTCATAGGAGACTGAAGCTTCCATTAACACTGAGTACATGAGGAGTTATTTTCCAGCAGGCACAGAGAAGTCTCTTCTCCATCATTCATCACTTTGCATTAATCTAGCAGCAAATATTTCTGTAAAACCTTCCTTCAGCTCAAAACAGAGCTTTTCTTCAGCCCGAGGACTTCCAAACAAGTATTGTCTATTTGACAGACTTAGCACACATTAGTAGTTGACTCTTCACACATGCATCCATCAGTGGTCAGGAAGATGTAGCTAGATGAGCAGGTGAGGTATTTGGACAACAATTATCCAAGCATATTGTCAGATCAGATTTGTAGAAAACGCCTAATTAGGGTCTAGCAGAGTGCCATCCTTCCATAGCTACCAAGGTAGGTATGTAGGTATCACCCTGTGAGCAGATCTCCGGACTCATGGAGTGCTGACAGCCAACTATGAGACTTAGAACAGCCTGAGGGCAGAATGATAACCTCTTTCAACAGACTTGCTTTGAAAGTGGATACAAGAACACAGCTAACTCTTAACTACAACTGCAGTTTTGGAAGCAAGTGAAATGGTATCACAGCATCAGAAAACACTGTAGGAGCAGCCAAATGGCTTGGGATGCAAGAAGCTTCAGCCATATGTTGAACAGTCTCTGAAATTACAGCAAGGGTGATTTTCAGCCTGACACACATAAGGAAGACCAAAGTACTGTCTCTCCTTTACTGCCAAAAGAAAATTTCCCTTTCCATTCTGTTTCTAATAAAAATTCTCCAGTTGACTGTCACAATTG